TAGTCCTGGTGTGGTTTCTATAGTCCAGGTGTGGTTTCTATAGTCCAGGTGTGGTTTCTATAGTCCAGGTGTGTTTTCTATAGTCCAGGTGTGGTTTTTATAGTCCAGGTGTGGTTTCTATAGACCAGGTGTGGTTTCTATTGTCCAAGTGTACTTGCTATAGGAGGAAAGACAAAAAACATGTTCAGATAGAAATAATTATAAATACAAACAGAACACATACAATAACAGAATAAATAATAAATAAGTAATAAACAGAACGATGCACCAGAATTGAATTGAATAAAATGAAAACAGCAAAGTATGTTTTCCAATGTGGCGGATCAAATTTCTGACATGCTGGTTTCTTTGTTCCACATGACTGTAGTCCCTCTCCTTCCTCCAGGTGTGATGAGTACGTGAGCCAGCTGGATGAGATGCAGCGGCAGCTGGCTGCAGCCGAGGACGAGAAGAAGACTCTGAACTCTCTCCTGCGTATGGCTATCCAACAGAAGCTGGCCCTCACCCAGCGTCTGGAGGACTTAGCTTTTGATCAAGAGCAGACATGCCATGCTCGCGGGGGCAGGGTAAGTCGAGGGAAGGCCGGTACCCCCAAAGTTAGTTCATCAGCCTTGGCTTCATCCTCCAGTGTTCCTCAAGGCTCCACTTCAGGTGCCTGTTGTTCTGGTCCCAGCTTCACCAGTCCTACTTCTGTACTTAGCCCATCTGTGGCTAGAGCAGCAGTTCTTACCTCTCCTACATCACACAAGCCCCCCCTTAGCCAATCGTCACCATCAGTCACCTTGCTAATCAGGCCCCCTGCACCAGAAAGCCCTCCTTCTTTTAAGGCCCCCTCCTCTTCTTCAATGCAAACGCCTCCTTCTACTCCCCCGAGGCTGACTCATTCCAAGTGGGCCATGGGGGTACGAACATTTCTGGTCGATTCCCCCAGTTTTGGTGTCAACATGTCCCCTGGCCTGTCTCGTAGCTCAGCCCGGTCAAGGCTCTTCACCTCAGATTCTCATGCCTCCCCCACCAGATCCATCCAACCAGGATCTGCCCCTTGCTCCCCCTTTCGCTCCCCTGTTCCAGGGCTTAGACACTCTACTTGGAACACCTCGGCCCGAACCCGTTCTCTGTCTAGCACGGCCCACTCTTCAGTCCTTTATACTACTTCCTCATCCTCTCTTTACTCCCCCTCCCACACCGGCTTTTACAGCTCCTCCCCCATTTCTACCCCCTCTAGCTCCTACCTCAGTTCTGGCACGTCCTCCTCCTACAGCCACTCGAGCCAGTACACACCACTGTATCCCAGATACTACAGTCCATATCGGCCCCGGGAATGACCTTCGACTGTTAGCCCTTTATGCCTTTTAAAGTCTTCTGCACTCAGCTCCTTATTATAAATAAAACCACAGTTCCCATTCTTCTTTGTTTTGTCACCTGGGACAGAGGAGGTTCACAGAGAGGAGGGCGTCATGGTTTCCTGTCTCCCACTTCTGGTTGTCCTTGTGCCTACACCTTGGCCAGCTGGTTTGAATGTACGCTTTGCTCAGGGATTTGATAAAAGGAGCACAAGTGGCCCTGCCTTCCTTTTTTTCTGAGACTGCTGACTGGTCCACAGAAGAACAATAATAGAGAAAAGCAAGTTTTTAGCCTTTTATTTCTTTAGGACAAGATGCCATGTGCATGATAAAAACACATTCATTGAAGAAACACTTTACATATACACGTACGTTTCAAAAATGTCTGAACACCTTAATAACTATTGTCTTTCTCTATAACATGATGCACTGTTTTAAATGTAGGAGTCCTCACTTTTCAGAACACTCGAACCTTCCTTTACAGTAGCAAGGTTTTGTTTAGAAGTCTTCTGGAAGGTTTACAGGTAGGATGATTCAAACCTATTTGGAGATTGTGCTAGGGATGGACAAAAGAAGATTTTTCTGTAAGGCCTTTGCGGAACCATACTTTCTGATCGTAACTGTTCTGCGGTGAGTAAAACACCAACTGTAGCATTTCTGCTCAGTAACTGTTAGTCGTCAAAAGCAAAGGTGTGCACAACTCCAACATTTATGCTGTTGTCTGAACTGTGCCATTTGAAGGTGACTCAGAAGATGTATGTGTCGTCTGCACACATGAGGAAGTTCACTTTTTATTTTGGTTTCCCACTGGCAGTACTAAGGCTGTTTCCATTACTTACTGTTACTGTTACATTTGTTTTAATGACAGGCCAAGCATTTCACAGCTAAGCCTTCAATGATGCCTTACCTGAAAATCTAACAGGGTTAAGTCAGGTCCTCTGGACAGATTCTTCTTCTTCTTCTTGTGGACAGATTCTCTGGATGAATCCGTCCAGAGGACCTGACTTAACCTAGTTAGATGTATCTACCTGGATTATTGAGCAGCATCAGGACCTACCTGGATAAATTCACCAGTCAATATGATAAAACAACTCATTATTGCAAGGTTGTTGCATCATATATGCAGCTTTAATGCTTTAATCCTACTATTAGTCTACTAAGACAAACAAAAAATGTTCTAAATCATTGTTGCTTGTACATGTCCAGTGGTGCTTTGGTGCTTTAACCAAGTCTTGTAAGTCCTGTCAACTTGCTTAAACAACTCAAGTTTGCAAACCCAATGTAACCCCAAAGAGCAGATTGATCAGTTGCAATTATCAATAATACCTTACTATACAACCACAGCGATTCTCAGAGGTTGTGAGCAATGGGTTCCACTTATATTGACAAGTTGAAAGTGGCAGATAAACTAAGAAAAAAGGTTTGTAGGCTCAATCATCCAGGTGGATAACAAAAAAAATGTTGAATAATTTCATCTGGACCAGTTTCTTTAAGGGAGAAACGTTTTGTCTTCCATCCAGAAGACTTCATCAGTCTGTGGCCTGCCAACCAGATCTGTCCCATAAGCAGCCTTCATTGCTGTTTACAAGACAACCTCCTGCTGGAATCTCAGAAACTTTTAATACATGCAAAAGGACCCATCTGTCCAAAACAATCAGTCATCATTATAACAATCAAAGGTTTTAGGCCAGATGGCCGACTTGCTACTCACAGAAACAGTCTGAGGACACCAAGGCCAAAATGGTTCAGAAAAAAGGTTTGTAGGCTCCATCATTCAGGTAGATGGGACAAGCTTTGGGGTTAGCAGTCTTTTTCTTATAATCCCATCCTGGTAGCATTTATTTTAGGGGTCAAGATGGGGTAGAGGTAGGGCAGCTGACCTGGGATCTGAAAGTCCCAGGTTCTATCCTCAGCCATTCCCACATGTCGTGGTGTCCTCTGAGCAGGACACCTAATCCCTAATTGCTCCCTGGGCACTTACATAGCTGTCCACTGCTCCACCTGGGTGTATCCCAGGTGTGATGGGTTAAATGCAGAGAACCAATTTCGTGATGTATGGGAACATACCATGATGACACATGACATGACATGACAACACATAGCACTTATTATAATACCCAGCTTATCTTGAAAGTTCCATCCATCCATCTTATCTTATCTTCTGGTTGTTCTGGACTCAGGTCTCAGGGGCAGCAGCTTGAGCAGGAAGGTCCAGACATCGCTTTCCACAGCCACCTCTTCCAGTTCTTCTGGGAGGACTACTAGGTGTTCCCAGTCCAACCAAGAGACATAGTCTCTTCAGTGTGTCCTGGGTCTTCCCCACAGTCTCCCCCCAGTCAGACATGCCCGAAGCACTTCCCTAGGGAGACGCCCATGGGGCATCCTTACCAGATGCACAAACCACCTCAACTGGTTCCTCTAGATGTGGAGGAGCAGTGGTTCTACTCGAGTCTCTCCTGATAACTGAACTTCTCAGCCTGTCTCTGAGGGAGAGTCCAGCTACCCTGCAGAGGAAACTCATTTCAACCTCCTGGATCCACGATCTCAATCTTTCAGTCACTGCCCAGAGTTCATGACCATACGTGAGGGGAGGAACGTAGACTGACCAGTAAACAGAGAACTTTGACTTACAGCTCAGCTCTCTCTTCACCACAATGGACCAGAACAGAGTCCACAATACTGCAGACATTGCACCAATCCATCTGTCAATCTCACGCTCCATTCTTCTCTCACTCGTCAACAAAACCCAGAGATACTTGAACTGCTCCACTTGAGGCAGAACCTCACCCTTGACCTGAACAGAACAATCCACCCTCTGACTGAGGACCATGGCCTCAGATTTGGAGGTGCTGATTCTTAAAAGTTTCTTCTTGAACCATGTATGATTAAAAAAATATCTGCAACCTAATCAGTTTATTCTCGTATTTCAGCTTGTGCACGTAGCTACTGAAGTCCTTTGTTAGCGCTGTTACTCTCGTTACCATCCAATGAAGCGATGTAAACATGCAGAGGGTTTTGTGGCCCCCAGTGCTGCCAACTCAAAATCTTATTGGTTAAACCAACGGTCCTGGTGTATTTACTTCAAGATTTCAGGACCTTCACAAATTATTCTGAAGGCCTGGAGGTAACTTAATTTGACTCTAGTGACACATGAAGGCTGAAATATGATTGGATAAAAGCTCTAAATATATTTTAAAACCAAACAAAACGCAATGAAAACCAAACTACAGACTGTTGTCAATGATTGACAACTATAAATTCATGTCACAGATTCTGATCACTGAATGCTCAGACCAGCAGAGAACGCTTTAATGGCCACGGATCAAGCTTTGGAATAAGACACAAAAAAGGTTAAATCACGTCATCTGGACAGTTTCTTTTTGGGAGAAACGTTTCATCCTTCATCAGAAAGACTTCCATCAGTCTGAGGCCTGACACCAAGATCTGTCTTACAAATAGCACCTTATTAACGTGTTTCATGCCAGCCTGCTGTGGAGTTCCCAGAAACTGGTTTTACACATGCAGAAAGAGACCATCAGTCTAAAACAATCAATCATCAGCAAAACAATCAACTGTTTTAGGCCTGACGGTCAACTGAGGACCCCTGGCCAGAATGGTAAGAAAAAAGGTTTGAAAGCTCAATCACAAAAGGTTAAATCAGGTCAACTGGACAGTTTCTTTTTGGAAGAAACGTTTTGCGTTTCATCTGCAAGACGTCTTTAGTCTGAGGCCTTGAAAGTCTTTGAAACACATCAAGGAGGTGACAGTCCCTGGTGGCCTCAGACTGAAGGTCTTGCAGATGAAAGACGAAACGTTTCTCTCAAAAAGAAACTGTCCAGATGACCTGATTTAACCTTTTGTTGTGATTTGTTTGCCTGGATGATTGGGCTTTCAAACCGTTGTTTCTTGAAGAGTTTTTGTTACACCGTACAGATTTTTCAGTGGATTAAGGAGTTGTGATTGGTCCATACATTAATGTGTTTTGACTGGCCAAACAATATTTCACACCTCCAGTATTAAAACTGCATTAATGTTGATGAAGTAGAAAATACTTGTTTTATAATTGTTGCCTCCTTTTCTTTTCTTTGTACAGCACAAAGCAGACTGATGTGTTGATTCTAGGAGCCCATTGGCTTCTAAATCTCCTTTGTCTGAATGTTTGTAACAATTTCAACCTCTGCATTTTAAAATAAACCAAAGACCCACAACACACAGCTCCAACTACAGAGTCTTTATTGTTATTGATAACTGTTAAGTGGATATGTGGCATGGACTTATTCACAGTTGGCCGTTCACAACTTGCTCTCGACGAGATCGGATGCGTCTCCCCTCCCTCTCCGCTTTGCTTTGCTGCTCTGTCTGTCTGTGAAATTGCTGTGAGACTCTCTTGCATCTTCCGAACCATAATTATGGACTGTTCTGACCAGTTGGTCCCTCAACTCAATTTACAACATTTCAACAATCAAGGACGTCGTCGGCAGCAAATTTGGACCTGATCACGCTGCTTGTCTTTATGATGGCTTGGTTCGTGCCTCGAGTACCCAGACTCAAATGCTTTGGGCAGAATGGATCAGATCTTGGGGATTTTACTCAGTCACATTCCATCAGTGAGGCCATGTATTTTGGACATTTCGGAACCGAGTGGATCAACACAGACTCAAGGTAGATGTCATTACGTTCTGCCTGTCCCCAAAACAACTGTGTGTTTATCTAAGTTGGCTCCCCTGGCTGGCCTTGAAGGCCACCTTATCTGAATTCGCCTGGAGAAAATGTGATCTGATGCTCACCACCCCCTCCCCGAGGAATTTCCAACTGATAACCAGATGAACCAGCTGAATAAACCTGTGTCATCATTTCTGGACTCTTGGATTCTCATACAGGTTATTCTTGGCCATTCCTCAACATACCTCGAGAATGTTTATGGATCTCACCAGAGGACATTGACTGATTACAGTGACCTCGAGAGCATCTATAAGTATTGT